GTCTCTGAACCGTTGCTCTTCAATATCAGACAATGGCTTTCGGAACACCTCTAAGAGGTTCCCGAGGAATGGCTGCGGTTTAGGGCCGGGAACACCTCTCGAGCGCCAGTAGTCATGATTACGAGTGTTATACCTATGGATTTGATTTATTAAACATACGAAACTTTCGACTTATTCTGGTTATAATTACTTATAAATTGCTAGTAAGAGTAAAATTATCAGGATGATTGTAAACATTATGCTAGCATATGATTTCAATTTAATTATAATGCATCAATATAAAATAAAAATATAACAAACTTTATTTAATTAGTACAATCAGTGCAATTTTGTAAACAGTACCGGTATGCATTTTACAAAAATAAACATACATATCATAGTTATGCAAACATTTTATCAATTGTTTGCTATCACTATATTTGACCTTGGATATAAAGTATTAAACATTTAAAAATCAGATCTATTATTTTTATAAACATTGACAGCGACTGTATGCTCTCATATGTTACTTGTATTAATGTGTACAGCCTAATTTGTACCGGTATTATTGTTCACTAGATATGTTTTAAACAATTTTTTAAATAACTTTTCAAATAATTCTCACAAATCGTAAATTTATTAATTATAAAATATATTTTTTTATTACAATAACTAATGTATGCGAAATATCACATTTCTTAAAATTGGTTTAATAATTATCACAACATATAAATGGCATATAATTATCACTTATTCTGTGTTTAAATTCAAAAGACAAAGTTTGACATAAAATTTTATCAAATGTATGAATGAGATATTAATATTCATTACATAAATACAATACTTAAATCTCACACAAACATAACGTTAATTATAATCATGTATCAAAAATAGAAAATAGCGTTTAAATCAAATAATATTTAAAATGTTAATTACAGAAATGTATTAATCAAACAATTAGTGAGCAATAGAATCACATAAGGGAACGGTAGGTAAGTAATGGCATAAAAAATAATCACAAGTTATTAAAACTTTAAATTGAAATAATAATCATCTGTTTGTTACATAACATAATAATACAGCAAATAATGGCATAATTTAAACACAAAAACTGTTAAAAATAATGTCAACACCCGTAACGGGGAATGGTATCACAAATTGAGTGGAACTGTAGGTTTAGAGGTCACAACTCTCACACATAGGGGTCGTATCGCATTTCGATGACAAACGGCTCCACAACCAGACTGTCATCCGGTTTAAAGTCGTCGATCTGGTGGTGAATGTGTTGATTCACGCGACGCCCCAAACATAGTATACCTCGCGGGCCGTACATATCGGTCAGCACCTCCTCATTCAGGGGACAGCCGCCCAACAGACGCGGCAACAGCTGAACCCGCGAGCCGTGGAACAGGCGATAGTCGGCGAGCCTTATGGGGTCCTTCATGAGCGACTGGTCGCGGAATAGGCGCACACTCTTAGCGCCGATACCCTCCTGGCGCTCAATGAGGTCCTTGAGTTGGGCGACAGTGTTGTCGAGGCCGACGTCCACCTCGAAGGCCTCGCACTGGACGGGCGGCTCATCCACGGCACGGAAGCGCCGGGCGCTGTACTCGACGGCCAGTCGTATGCGTGCGCCCAACACCTCAAACGGCTTCTGTATCTGAAGGGCGAACTTCACGCGCGACGAGTCGTAGGCCGCCTGCGCCGGCGTCACCGCACGCCTGTCCACAATCCGCTGCACCAGCCGTTGGCACGACTTGACCGACAGGGACTTCACGTGCAACTGATGCCCGTTTAGGCTGAGACTCCGGTGCTGGCAGTGGTCACCCGCGCGGAGGTCGTACTCATAACGGTAGGCGTCCGTCAGCCGTATGTCGTACCGTATGTCCCGTTGGCCGTGGATGTTGTCCACCCAGACCTCGACGTCCGTGTCCTCGAGAGGGAAGTGTCCGATGAAGACGTTGTCACCGGCGGGTGAGCTCTTGAACTTCAGGGCCCGCTTGTGGCCGCTGTCCGGCACCTGATAGACGGCTATCTGTGTGCCAAACATATAGCGAATCCATTGGCCGTCTTCCGAGACGTATGGCTTGATCTATGCGGTGATGATCATAGGGATCAGTTGTATGGTGATAGTCAATGGTATAATCACATTGAATGCCACTTACGATGGGTTTGTGGTCCGATTGCGAGTCCATTGCCTGTCCACCAGTCGATCCGTTGATAATCCACTCGTTGACTGTCAGCTGAAGTGGTGTTGGATGTTGTGGTGGGTGTTGTGATCACCAAACACTTGATCCGGTGGTCCACTGAATGGTTAGATGGGCGTCAAGAGTGCGATACAGACAATGGATTTGCGGTACAAATGGTTATCAAAATACGAGACAAACGATTAGTCATTCACTCTATGAGTCAATGAATAAGCTTTTTGTGTGGTGTCTGCGAGTGTGGGTCACGTGAGTCGCACGTGTCTCACATATACAGTGCACTCCCGATATAACATACATTAAAGTTTAATGATTAAAGTTTAGCTTAAAATTAACACAATTAATAAATGATCATGGTCTAGCGTAGCGAAATCAATGAACAAAATTAACTTATGTATTAATTTATAAGTTAGAGAATATAAGTGTTAAAATATTTTAGGTTTATTTAAAAAAGTTAAGTTTTATAAAAGTTTTGTAGAAATAGTTTCTAGTTCATTTTATAGTATTACTGTAATACACTAACAATCTATTATTATAATAAGCCTTATATTGATATCGATTACTTTATTACAGTTTTATTTTTAGACAATTTTAATTTACTGTAAATCCTTTTTAAAAATGCTTGTACTGTATTACAGACTTTTAAAAGTTACAGT